CTTTGCTTTCTCTTTTCTTAATTTATTGATGAAGAGTGGAAGGGATTCTCATGGCTCTGGCTAGCAGAGGTCATCTTCTTTTTTTTAGATGTGACTAAAGTCAGTCGTCGTGTTCCAATCTTTTCTTTGTAGTGGCAACTAGGAGGAGGGTTTAAGAAATTAAAAAAATTCTCTTTGAAAGAAAAATTGAGACCTTCATTGAGGCAACTACCTTCATAGAGGCTATCAACTCTGTCGACCATACTATCAAAAACTTAATGAAAAAGGTTTTCACAGAGGCGTACTCTAGATTCAATGAATGTTTTCAAGCCATCCAAGCAGGAGAGATAATATCTGCTAATTACTGTCTATCCCAACTTTAGAATGCATATCTTGCCCAAAGACAAATTATAGAAAATAAAAATAAATGATATCAAGAAGCTAGGAAACTAGTACAATTTTCTTCCGCCTCAATATTATAAATCTAAAGAGAATAAAAAATCTTTAAGGGAACCGCCGCTAAACAAAAAGAGCTTAAGGCTATTCTTTCCGACATTAAAACAACAAATTTACTAAATATAAGGATCCAAAATTTCCTAGATTGAGAACGAAAATGTCAAAAGCCCTAGAGGCTGAAAAAACAGTCCAAGAAATGTTGGCTATGTACTAACAAAATCTAATCAATGAAGAAGCTCTAATAGGCTTTTCCAAGAAGATAGAAGATGCTAAAAATGATAAGTTCTTTTCTTAAAAAGAACTTATTTTAAGCAAGAACAGACGACCTAAACCGATAACTTGTTTCCAAGATACAATTAGAGACTGTTCATGAAATTTTTGTGAACACAACCGTCCGGAAGATTTTGACTTTTATATTTCGGAATTCTACAAAACCAAGGTGCAACCAGATTTTAAACCATTTTTATGTTTAAGATATAGGGTATTTGGGAAGAAAGAGACGATGTATTCATCTTTACCCATTAATTCAATTCAATTATGGGAGTTATATAAGGTCACTGAAGAGTCAGTACATGAATTTACCAAATTCAAAAAAAAATTTATTGAAGAAAATGAAATACTTCAGGCGGCACTCGAGTTCATTGATGTAAAAGTTTCCAAAGCTCATACAGTTCATGACAACAAAATAGTTCTGTTATTTGACTGGGTTTCTAATTCAAAGCCTTCACAAAAAAGAAAGGATATAACCAAAGACTTTGTTTAGACCTTTATTTTGTTTAAAATTGAGACTTTTCCTAGGAACGCTATTTTATAGAAAACAAGGAAGAAGACCTATTGAACACAAGAATCAGAAGACTTAACCAAAAGCAACATAATGACAGAATTTGAGGAGAAATAGTAACCGTGACGGGTCCTACTAAACCACCTGTGAAACAATAATTTAAAATAATCTTTACTATGCAGAATTTGAAAAGAATCTATACTATGCAGAAAGAAGAGACACGTCAACTCTTTAACTATTCAAATTTTTGTAAAAAGATTAATAACTTGAACAAACTCTCAAGAAAAACACTCAATTTTATTTAGTGCAAGGCAAGCTAGATTTCTCCGATGTCTTTGCTTTCTTTCTTCTCAATTTATAGACGAAGAGCAGAAAGGATTCTCATGGTTGTGGCTAGCATATGACATCTCACTTTTTTAGATGCGAGTAAAGTTAGTTGATGTGTTATTGTCTTTTCTTTTTAGTGGCAAACAGAGGGAATCTGTTTGTAGGTGATTTGAGTAAAGACAGAGTTGACGTGTTTCTTCTTTTGGTAAAGTAAAAAATTCTGTTCAATTATTATTTCACAGGTAGCTTGGTAAGAACCACCATGGTTACTATTCCTCCTTGAAATCTGTCTTTGTTGTATCAGCTGCTTCTTCATTAAGTCTTCTATTTTCTATAAAATAGTGTTCCTAAGCAAAAGTCCTAATTTTTTTCCACAATAAGGGTCTGAAGGAAGTCTCTGGTTTTATTCTTTTCTTTCTATGAAGGCTTTGAATTAGAAATTCAGTCAAATAACTGAATCATTTTGTTTTTATGAATTGTATGAGCTTGGAAAGCTTTTCCAGAGAAGAATTCGAGTGTTGCCTGAAGTCCTTTATTTTTCTTTAACAAAATTTTTTTGTTTGTTTGAATTTGGTAACTTCATGTTTCCGTGACCTTATACAACTCTCATAATTGAATTGAATTGACAGGTGAAGACGAATATATTGTCTCTTTCTTCCCAAATACTCAATATTTTAAACATTAAAATGGTTTGGAATTTGATTGCATATTCTATAAACTTGGTTTTGCAAAGTTTCAAAATATAAGTGTTGAAATCTTTCGAAGGATTTGTGAGATTTCATGAACAATCTCTAATTGTATTTTGTTTTGGTATTTAGAGATTTCTTGGAAATAAGCTGTCAGTCTAGGCTGTCTGTTCTTGTTTGGAATAAGTTCTTCTTTAGCAACAAAAACTTATCAATTTCAGTGTCTTCTATCTTCTTGAAAAAGCCAAGCCAACATTTCTTGGACTCTTTTCAGGCTCAAGGGTTTTGACCTATTCATTCTCAATTTTGAAATATTGTAGCCAATGTTGGATCCTTAGATTTACTAAATATGTTGTTTCGATCTTAGAAAGAACAATCTTGAATTTGTTTTGCTCAGCGGGATTTTTTATTCTCTTTCCTCTGAGATTTTTGACATTGAGGTAGAAGTAAATTGTACTAGTTTTTTGGACTAGTTTTTTAGCTTCTTGATATCTTTGATTTTTGTTTTGTATGATTTGCCTTTGGGTAAGGTATGCATTCTGAAGTTGGGATAGGTAGTAATTAGTAGATCTTATTTTTCCTATTTGGATGAATTGAATACATCCATTGAATGTAGAGTATGCCTCTGTATCTTTTTCTTTAAGATCTGTATTATAGCATTCTCTTGCAACTGTCTTGGCAAATACTTCTCTCACCTATTGGAAGTATTTTTCATTACTTCTTATTAACCTCTATGGAGGTAGTGCGTCAATGGAGGTCTCTGTTTTTCTTTCAAAAAGGGTTTTTGATTTCTTAGACCCTCCTCCTAGTTGCTAATTCTCTTGCCTCTTCATGTCCTAAAGAAGTTCTTGGAATCTTTCACTGAGGTCTTTATTACTTACTTTTTCTTTGTTCATGGCCTGGTTAGTAAATCAGCATTGAAGTTAATATATTCTGGAATATATTTAACTTCATAACTAAATGTTTCTAAATATAATGCTATGTGGATTCTCCTAAGATTTTTTTTTCAACATTATTAATGGTTTTCTTTTTTTAAAATTGTGCTACTGATTTGTTGTCGGTTTCTATGATGAAAGCTCTATGTAAGTGATATATTTTAAAACTTTTTATAGCAAGCTTAATCGCTAATAATTCTTTATCATTAATAATTGTTTATAATTGGTAGCATATTTTGTTTGGGTTTTATTAATTTTTTTAGAAGAATATGCAATTATTTCAGTTTTTTTGCAATTAAGACTTCTGTCCAGAAATTATATGAAGCATCTGTTTGTAGCACTGAACTTTCATTTTCAGTAGAAAATAAGGAATCGGTTGATCTTTGAATATTTCTTTAATATTTTTTGTTTCATTGTTTTCTTTTTAGGATAAGGATATACTGATTTAATCAGTGTTCCATCTTCTTGGTTGGTCACTAGTGTTCATTTAATATTTCTTTTGTTCTTCAACAAGCTTTTTTTTTTCAAAGATTTTTTGTTCTAGCAAATAATTTTGGTATAAATTTTCTACATAATTAAGCAATCCCAAAAAGCTCTGTAATTCTTTTATTGTAGTAAGCAAGGAAATCTTTGGTTTTTGAATAAATGTGCTGTTATAATTATATTCTCGCTTGTTTAATCTATTTTCCCCGTAATTTAGTATCAGTTTTGAATAATTCTATCTTTTTAGGACTTAAAAATTATCCCATGGTTTAATAATAGTTGGATAACTATAAGCTTATGCTCTTCCCAATTTTTAAGAATACTAATTTATTATCTATGTAGGCAACTACGTATTGTAGATGTCTAAAAATAGAATTCACCATTTCTTAAATATTTGAGGAGCATCTTTTAATCCAGATGAAATTACTAACCATTCAAAATGTCATTGTTGACAACTTAAAGCTGTCAGTTAGTTCTATTGAATTTTTTTCAGCAAGTTTAGTTTGCAAAAAGCAATATTTTGCGTTAAATTTACTATAATATTTTGCTCTTTGTACTTGCTTAATTAAATGTTCAGCAGTAGGGATAAAACATCCATCAAATTTCATATGGCTATTGAGTTTTCTGTAATTACTGACCATTCTTGCTTTTCCTCTTTTTATTTCATTCATTAATAAAAGATGAAGATGAATGAGGGCTAGAACTTTCTTGTATAAGTTTCAGATCTAAAATTTTTTGTATTTGTTTAGAGAATTCTTCTTTATCAGGAAGAGATATCATAATGCTGTTAACATGACTCTTTGGTATCTTTATATTGTTCTAAAAGTTCAAATTTACTATAACTGGGTGATTTATGTAATTCCTTTAACGTATTTTCAGAATATGAGAGTTCTAACAAATTGTGTATTAGAATTTCCATAACATTTGTAGAAGGTATGATATACGTACTGATTTTTTTCAGAACGTATTGGTTGGTATTGAACATGTTCAATTAAACATACATGTATACATTTATCATCACTACGCTGTGCTGCAGGTTGATTATGTTCTGCAATTTGTATTGGAAAAAAGGTACTTTAGGCACTTGAATTCTGTCTAATTCAAAGAAATAAGTATTGAAATGAGATAAAGAACGGAGATTATTGATTCCTAAATTACAATATTCTTTTAGTTGTCGAGGAAGTAGAGCGAAGTCAAAATGAAATAATCTTTCTTTGCCTTGGATGTTTGGTATAGATATTGGAAGGTTTCTAACTTTGTGAGTTACAGAAGTCTCAAGAAAAACACTCCATTTTATCTCTCCCCCCCACTCCCCACCCCCACCCCACCCAAAAAAAAAACAAAAAAAAAACAAAAAAAACAGAAGGCAGCCAGTGTTGAAAACAGACTCAAATCAGTTGATTACATGGGTGCATTTTGAGAGGGCTCTGCAAAGAGTGGAAGGTCGCTTGCTGGGTGCACTTGAAGCGCATATATCTGGCATCGGTCAGTTCGGTGGATACCGACTTGAAATATCTAAATCTGACACGGACCGAAGTGACTAATAAAAGCCCACCGAACTGCTCAAAATCGACTGGTCTGACGGTTGATCGGTTCAATTCGAAATTTGCGCAGCACTAGGTGGACCCTGACCTTATGTCCTTCTAGTCATTTGACTTTCTTGATGAGTCCACAAGTCACTGGTTTTGTCCTGATTTTGGGTTTTAGTTTACGAAGCAAAATAAAGTGGGAACTCAAACTTATGCTTCCATGAACTTTGTTGGTAAAGTGTTGTACTTCAACAATATATTACGTTCATATATGCTTCATCTTTTTAATTTCGTGGTGTGCATAAGTCTTTACTGGAAGATCGTATTCCTTGGTTATACTGTTTTCTTATTTTGTACATGCATTCTGTATCTCTCCTTTTTTGATGTAAGCATCCTTCTGGCCTCCATTGCCCAAATTACCACATGCTCATGTGTCTGTAAACAGAAAAGCAATTAGGGAAGCAGCTGCCTACTGACTTTTTGTTCTGTTCTTATATGAAAAGAACTATGTTTCAATAATTTTACATTGATCATTGTCAACTTATATTACTTCTTAATCATATGTCATACACATTAAATTTATGGGAAGAATTTTATGCCTGTTTAATTCGTCTGTCATCGTTGTAGTTGATTTTCACATGGCAACAAAAGCCATAAGAAGGCGTCTCCATCATGCTGATGTTGATGGAAGGAAAAATGAGCATATGGACACTTCCGGAATTGATACAATAAATGAACCTCTACTAGGAAATTATAATTACAGTGCAAGCCACTCCGAGGTAACAATTTAATGCTTGTGTATATCATTCGTTGAAATGCAAATAATCTCTTTATTCTTGTATTTGTTATCGCTTTGTCTTTTTCAAAGGGATATGGTGATAGAAGTCAGCAAGATACCTGGGATGACAAGAAGAAAGAGAGCCTCCACTGGGCATTTCTTTTCTCCAATGTGATTGCTCAGTGGGCACAATGGTTAGGTAATTTTCTTAATTTAGGTGCTTTTCTTAATTTATGTGTTATATACAGTTTTATAACATTTGTGTGGCCGAATCTATTGGGGCCAAGCTGAGATCTGAAGGTTGTTTTCTTGTTCTAGTTATGGAGGATAGACTTTTCCAGTTACTCATCTTTAAGACCCATTTGTTCCAATGTCTAGCTTGAGCATTGTCCCTAGTCAGTCAGCTCATACTATCATCTATTATACTGTAGTTGTGTAATATGAATGTTATACATCACTTGCAACAATATACTTCTGTCATCAAATTTTTATTCTGTAATGTGTATTGCTCCAATGTAAATGCTTTGCTCAGCATGAACGTGGGGCGTTGTGTTTTATTAGTTCATTGCTCATCCTGCCATCTTCAAGTTGTGTAATATTAGCATCTTTATTCATCTAAGATGACCTTCATCTATGCACATTTATATTTTAGATAAAGAAATTTTAATTAACTTTATAACTTCTACTTGTATCCAAATGCTCACTTTCAAGTGTAAATTACATGAATAAGCAGGTGTTATCTTTATTTTATCAGTGTTCATGAGCACATGTCCTAGGTGTTCACATGTCCAATAATCTTTGATATGGGAATCTTACAAACAGTTAACTTACTGGTGCTTCAATCTTTCATAGACGTGTATACAAATATATGTATTTTCTGACACATCAATATAATAGATCATTTGATAAATTTCAGTAAGATCTTGTTTTGATTTGAGGTCTTTCATTTGAAGCGGAAGTGTGCTGCAATCTTGATATAATGATTGAACATGTTGTTGGAGCATCATGAAATGTCCAATGAAAAAATGGCTTATAAGCTCATCTAGATAAGGTAGGTTTGACCAAAAAAATTACTATTCCATTCATACAATTTTTGTAGCATTTTTATCATAAAAGCCAAAAGCCACTAAAAGCCAACATAACTTATAAGCTTCAAAAAGTAAGCCCGTCCAAAAGTCTTTGATATGGGAATCTTACAAACAGTTAACTTACTGGTGCTGCAATTTTTCCTAGACGTGTATACAAATATATGTATTTGCTGACACATCAATATAATAGATCATTTGATAAATTTCAGTAAGATCTTGTTTTGATTTGAGGTCTTTCATAGTACCTTTTAAGCTAGCTTTTTCATATCTATGTGTTTGGTAAATCTCAAATAAGCTACCTGTTAAGTCCAATTTAAAAAAGCTAGGGTACCCCAACTTATGAAAAAATGGCTTATAAGCTCATCTAGATAAGCTAGGTTTGACCAAAAAAAACTATTTCATCCATACAATTTTTAGAGCATTTTTATCATAAAAGCCAAAAGCCACTAAAAGCCAACATAACTTATAAGCTTCAAAAAGTAAGCCTGTCCAAACACCCTCTAAAAATTTAAGGGTTAATTGTCAAGAGACTCCCTGTAGTATCACTCAATTACGAATAGACCCCTAGTAGTTCTATTTGTACACATAGACCCATTGTAATACTGGCCTAAGTGCGAATATACCCCTATAGTGAACTTTTTCGCTATTTTACAAGTAAAAAAGAAAAAGGAAAAAAAACAATTGGAGGTCTATTCTTCCCAACAGAACTATAGCGGGTATATGCGCCATCTCAAACAGGTTTGTGTTTGTTTAGAGTAAATAATAGGTGGAAAGCTACATGACAAATATGACTTAAATCTAGAGATAATCTTGGAATTTTAAGAAAATATTACTTAAAACTCAATCCCTCCCCTACCGGCCCGTCCACTTTAGGAGGGTTAGGAAAGTGAGGAAATTTGCTTCTTTTAACCCTCCCAAGTCCCAACCCTTCCCTTCACTTACTAAAAATGTAAACAAACACAATTTTGGGTAGTTATCGTTGTAACCTTCACAACTCCTCCCCTCCCCTCTTAAAAAAAACTATCCAAACCGAGTGTTAGGATTGGCTGGTAGATTGGATATTTTAATTGTTCAGTAATCATGTAACTTTAATCAACAATAAATAGTTATAGATACCTTAATCTAAATACATCTAAAGTAACTCCTTCAAGTTCAAGGTTATGTCTGAAAACCATTGCATAGATGTCTACATCTGGCTTGTCCAGTTTTATGGATACTCCTTGACAGACATAAATTGTTTGTGAAGTTCAAAGTTGCATATGTTCTGAAAAGGCTGATGATGATCCTAGCAAGTTATATGTATCCTAAAGTAGCTTACCAGCTCCTTTTTAACTACACAGTAACTTTCTGTATCATGAATTGTTATTATCAATTTTACTGTAACTGATTGCCTTTTTTCCTCACTGCAGCAAATATTGTTCTCAATACTGGATCAATGTTGGGAAGACTTTTGCCTCTTCCTTCTATTAATTATAATGGGCAGGCTAATTGGAATAAGCAAGTTTTTATTAGCCCATTGCAGGTAATGCTAAAGACTAACCCTGTAAATTCCATTAATTAACTATAGAGCATAAAGGCATTATTATGGGATCGTTTTGACATGGATGACAACATTATGTATCAAGAGGTTTTTGGTTCATGCCTTAGTAAGGACAAGTTCATAGTTTATACTTCATACTGCTTGTTTTTATGGCTTTTTACTTACAGCAGTTGCAGAAAAGGTGAATTGTGAAACAACTGTTCTTGATACATTTTAATTTAATAGCTTCCTCAAACTACATCCATCTTTTGGTTGTTATATACATGTAGAATTGAGCCCAAGTACTTGCATAAACCTGTATTTTTCCCAGATAGTAAAAAATCATATCATTGTGCTTTCTTGGGAGATAAATCTTGAGAGTAACAGCTGCAAAATGCATGGAAACAATCATGGTTAATTGTTTTCCTATTAATGCCTTATCTTGGACACGAAATACCCACGGCCCCCCACACAAACCAGAAGAAAAATGCAGTGTATGATATTTTGATTCTATGTTTACTTTACGCGTTGCGTCCTTTTTGGTTTCTTACATTTGAAGTAAAGGTTTGTTTCTTATTAAACAAATCACTACTTTTTTCCATTTTCCTTTTAATATGTAGGCAGGAAGACTGCAAAACCTGAAAAAGTTCTTACATCTGAAAACATTGTAATTTTTTTTATTAATTAAAAAAACTCTTACTATTTTCCTTTTTTCTAATATGTAGGAAGAGAGATTGCAAAACCTGAAACAGAGATTGGGGGTTCCATTCGATGATACTCGCCTGGAACATCAAGTATGAAAATATATGTAGATTTTAAATTCATGGCTGCATGTTTTTCTTGCCTCGATATTGATGTGTTTTTTGGCGGCTCATTTTGCTAAATGATCTACCAAGGGATAACCATGTGGGAGGCCCACGTTCCTTGTCACATCTAAAAGGGTAGACCTTACCACTTCCATCTCTTCGTAGCTCATTTTGCTATATGAGCTGCCACCTCATAACCATCAATCCCTTGTCATGATTACATTTAAGTTGGATTTCTCTTTTATTTTTCTGATTTTTATTGGAAGCAAGAGGAATCTGATGTAAAGTAAACGACTCTTGACTATTAATGAGTGGCAGGAAGCCTTGAAGCATCTCTGGAAATTGGCTTATCCCCAGCGAGAAATCCCTCCTCTTAAATCAGAGTTATGGAAGGAAATGGGTTGGCAAGGTTCTGACCCATCAACTGATTTTAGGTATGCAAATGTTAATTTCGTCACGCTTCGTTACAAGAGGGATATCAATACTTTTTCCCCTGTGCAGGGGTGGTGGCTTTGTATCATTGGAGAACCTCATTTTTTTCGCCCGGAACTACCCAGTAGCTACTACTCACTTTAACAATCATTTCTCTCTTTCAGTTTCATATTTCTTTTTAGCCCCTTAGTTCAGTCTTTTTACACTGTAGGCCTCTTTTCAACTGTTGTTACACAAGAAAGTAGGAACACGGGCAGAGTGGGAGTACCCCTTTGCTGTAGCTGGTATCAACATATCATTTATGTTGGTGCAAATGTTGGACTTGCAATCAGGTAAGAAGAGAATGGATTTTAATGTAAAATTTCTACTCGAAGAGCACTGTAGCATCAATTTAGATAGAGGACATGGAAATCTAGAAATTCACAGCATGGATAATAGCAATGACATGGCTAAAACATGCAGTCAGATGACAATGAAACATACTCTAATTTGAACATTATCAGATCAGTAAACACGATAAATGTGTGTTAATAAATGTAATATCCATATCTATTTGCACAAGATGTTAAAATATTTTACATTGATAGACTGTTTCTTCCCATGTTCTTCGTCTTCATTTACTTGATTCTAATGCATTCCACTTACTGACTCTGAATATACTAGGCTCATTGAGGTGATGTTTGAGAAAGTATTTTACCTAGATCCATAATATATATATATACATATACATACATATATATATAATATATATATATATATATATATATATGAATATATATATATATATATAGATAAAGGGGTAGCCTAGTGCACGAGGCTCCCACCATTGTGGGCTTTGGGAGGGTCAGATGTACGCAACCTTACCCCCGCATACGACGCATACCTGTATGCTTCATGACAGAAGTGCCATTGTCGCAGGCAAAAAGCTTTCTAAATTGCTATAGAATTTGGAAGGAGTTAATTGCTCATATAAACTATATTATAGGACACACCCCACCCCCCCAAAAAGAAAATGGAAACTAGGCCAATAAAAAAGGCACCCACACCCAAATCAAAAGAGACGGTCTGTTAAAGGGGTTGTTTAATTCCTATAAGAGAACTTGTGCTCTCTCTGCAAACGTTGAGATCTCTGTGATACATTGACGTTATGAAAAGGTTAGGGATAAATGTCTAATCTTTATAGTTCAAGAGGTGTAATCCTCTAAAACTCTACATTGGTGTTTTTTCCCCCACATTATTTATTTTTGTAGATGATGCATTAAATTTAACTTATTCCCATAGGATGATGCCTCAGATCAACAAAAACAAAATGTGTCTTAAATTTTTGAAGTTGGCATATTCTTTTATTCAATTTCTTAGGGACTCCTCTGTTAACATAATGATAGCTCGGACCAAAATAATGTATGCATATTTGAACTCAAATGTCTCCATCCATCCTATCGCAGGCATGCCTTCTTCTAGAGCAGGAGTTCGTTTTCTGCAACTTCTAGCAGAAGACAAAAGGGCATTCGATAACCTCTTTTGTGTAGCTTTCCTAATGATGGATGCCCAGTGGCTGGCAAGACGAGCTTCTTATATGGAATTCAATGTAACCATCAAACCCTTCTCATTGTTTTCACTACTCTTTACCCATGTTTGTTTTGCGTCTATAAGATTTTTATTTCTGATATATTTTTCTTCTACTCTTCAGGAAGTTCTTAAATCTACGAGAACACAGTTGGAACGTGAGCTTTCGCTTGAAGATGTCTCCAGTGTAAGAGACCTTCCGGCATACAACATGTTGAATGGATAACTCTGCGATAAGTTTTCATCTTTTTATAGACACATTAATCAAACGAAATGTAGACAAGCAAGCGGCTTGTAAGTTAATTCTGTACAGTGATAAACTCTGCTTAATCCATTGGAACTGATGAAAATATCTATTACAATAATGGAAAGAGGTAATATTTTATAGTTGTAGATATAGAGTTTCCCCCTCTCCTTTATTATTTTTTAATTTTAATTTTTGGGTCCTAACAGGTATTGGCAAAAACTTAATAGTTTTTATATTTTTCTCCCAGTAATTTGAGAGGGAAAATTATCGAAACACTTCCCTTAATTCTTCAGGTTAAGGAAATATTTTCCTGGGAGTCACTAGAAACATAGTAGTTACCCTTTTTCTTTACGTCCCCTTCAATGAGAGTAAATTGCAGACGACCTTTTCATTTATACCTTATGGCTCCCCAACTATTTTAGCAGCACCTATAAACACCCCCTGAATTCACAGTTTTAGAAGGACAAAATTACGGGCAGCCCCTTCTCCCTTATTAATTCAGTGTGTTTAGTGCTACAGAAATTTTGTCCCCTCTCCCTTATGAATCCAGTGTGTTTAGTGCTACAAAAATAATCGGGGGCGATTAAGTGCTACTGAAGGTGTAGATGAGGCGAGTTAATCTGCGATGTGCTCTTAATCATAAACATCTAGAAAGTCATTTGATTATAGGCTAAATATGAGAAATTTTCATCCCACGTTGGATGTTGGGTGCAAGGAGTTTGGAAATCAATACAAGCCTCATAGTTTTGGCAGCCTAAAAAGAGATGGGCATGAAGTAAGTAAGAACATTTATAAGCTTAAAGTAGATGAGAAGGAGGTTAGCTACCAAGCGCACAATGCTTAAAAAGCAAAAATCATAAGATCAAATACTATTGGTTGCTTAATTTTGAATTCAGGTTGTTATTTCTTGCAAGTTTCCAAATTAGATGGAGGCTATGTTAACGCGTTTGAATATTATGAGATTGGTCAAATCTGTTTGAAGTATTATTAATTAGTTTTAATGGATTCAGAGTCTTGTTAAGCTGCTACGAGCAAGCTGGAATTTTTGGTCAAATTACTGGACGTGCTATTATTTTTTTATTGTTTTCTCTTCTATAAGCTTGAAAAAGCATTACTCATGAAAGTTATAGGGTTCATCTTTCTGTACAATATAGGAGAGGCCATTTACACTAGAACTTTTATTATATATATTGGCGTCTGCAATATCAAAACACTGGTTATCATCTAGATACGTTAAGATCACTACCAAGCCCAAATTTAGCAAGGTTAGGTTCATACGATATTGATCAATGTTGCTTTGTGTAGTCACGCGAGGGCTAGCTGACAAAGTTTGAGATATCAAATTAAATGTACTAGATAGAGATATTACTAAGGAATTTGAATGACAAAAATTTGGTCACATCATAGAGTTAGGTGAAAGGAATTTCGTCAATTTGTTCCCATATTGTGCACATTGATCAAAAGGTGATCGAAGGGAATTTGGCCAATTTGTTCTCGTATTGTGCAC